TGCAGCAGCCTGACTTGTTTATGGCCTGCGGTAAATCTGGAGAGATTCCCAGAAAGTCATTGAATGGGAAAACGAGATACATTAAACAACTGATAATAGTTCTTCAGAATGATGAAAACTGAGAGCTTTTCTTAAACAAGAAAAAAGACCCCTGACCTTTGAGAGAAGCTGGTCATGGCTGAGCACGGATGGTCTCGCTCCACTCCGTAGCAGCTCTGTCAAGATGCTGCTGTTGGAATCCGGGGAGCCGGTTTTGCGGGCATGAGAGATGAAACCTGGTGGTAGGCTCTGCTCTTCTGATCTCATCTAAAGCTTTCGTGATCAGCCTTTCTATATATCTTTGGGATAGCTGAATGCTTATAATCTGTGATATCTTTACCTCCAGCAGTGTTTTTAAAATACAAGCTGCTACTCAGGATTTCTTCTAAGGGAAAATTAGTGGATCTCTTCTGGTTTGTAGTCATTTATTTTCAAGGTAGAAGGAAGCACTAATTTCTTTCATGTAGGGCAGAGTTGCTGTGTAGCAGTTGCTTTTACTCAATTGCAACTTCGACTGGCAATTAAATCAAATGATAACAAGGCCTACCATGTAATTTCACTGCTCCATTGAATTTCTTGAGAAGTGCGAAGGACTAGGACAGCTGTGGCAATCAAAACTTGTGTGTCACAAACCCCCTAGAATGAGCTGTTAAACCTGCTCCACTACTCTGCTGAGCAATGATCCAGATACACCATCATCGTTCAAGGCTGCGTGCACTAAATTCAGAGCTGTTGGAAAAGTTAAATACCCTTTTTAATGATGTCAGTTCTGCTTGTCAGAGCTCACCTAAATCAGTGTTCTGCTGAAAAATAACTTTTTTTGCAGTAGGACATCTTACGAAGATGCCTGGTGTCGTGCCTGAACTCTTCAGTACCGTGTTGCTGATAGGCTGTCAACTGTTTGAGGAGATAGTGGCGAGAATTATCTGAGCTCATCTGCATATTTTGCGTATCATCTTTATGAAGGCAGATCCTGCACTATCAGCTTGCAAACACAGCTGGCCTGTTTTAAGTTATGCGACTCATGAGGCTGCCAAAGCACTCACGTTTTTTAGCACTTGTATTTTGATTTTTAAACTGGGCTTTTTGGAACGGCTGTTCTAGTTGCACAGCATCTCATCTGTGGGGATCGATCCTTGTGATGAAGATAGCTAGAACTTTTCTCTGATGAGAAGTCACTAATTTTTCCCCACTTCATCTGAAGCAAAAAGGAAATGAAAGAACTCGGGATTATTTGCAGCTGCTGTATTCAGTGTGAAGTGTGATGGGTCACTTCTCCATAAAGGGCTGCTTCTGCAGTTTGAAATGCACTGATACCTCGTTGTGACCCGCTTTTCACTTTGCTCGTAGAAGTGCCAGGCTGTATGTAGCTCCGCACGTGTTTTAAGCTGGCGGTTTCGTTTGAGGGCTCCTGTCTGCCTTTGGCTGCTTGTTGCCGTGCTGTCCCCTCTCTCGTCAGCACAGCTGCTTGTACAGCCACATTGTGAACCATATTGAGGAACTGATCGGGTGAAGCTAACCCAGCGAGAGAGAGGTGGTTAGTTTTCATGCGGATCGGTTCCCCAGTGCGATTCACTGAGCGGCTGCACAAGTGCTTGTTTGTGGCGGTACGAATGAGGAGGGCGATGCAGCAGCGCGAATAAGCAGCGGGGGTTGGCAGCAGGGCAGTTTGGCTGGTGCTGGCTGAACCACACCACAGTGGGGTGTTTTGTTTTGCGTATTCTAACATCTTGAGCAAAAACGACATGAAACCCATAGGAGGTAACACTTAACAGAGATTTGAAAATTCCCTCAAAGTAATACTTGTTGTTTGTCACAGAACAGCTGCAAGCCCTTGATGAAGAATTTTAGAGCCTATTTGAATTGTCTTTTGGATATGTCTTCATAGCTGATGGTCTCCTGGCTAAAGCTAATTATCTTTGGTCAGGAGAGGTTAATTAGCTCTGAACGCTGCCTCTGTAGAGTCCTGAGGAAATCTGAATAATGCAATATAATATCAGCGACACTGTAGCGGGCAAACTGGAAGGTTTATTTTCAGGATCCAAGTCCCTCTGTCATCATGACCTCATACTAAAGAATGTGAACAAGAAAATTGTCCATGTAATTGGAAACTTGTTCCCTATCAGCTAGGCTAAATGGACAAGTAATGGGACAGGAGGGAGGAGGAGAGTGATGACGGAGTTGGTGATTTAAATAGACATTCATTACCTGTTGCATGTTGAGTCCTCAACTGTGGTGTGGTCTCACAGCCCCAGATTTAATGTCCTTCTTCCAGCTGGTTTGGGAGAAGTGAGGCTTCAGACTTTGGGATAAATTTGAGACTTTGAAGGGTGCAAAGAAGTCACAAACCGTGGAGATGCACCTGTAGGTTATGACACTCTACACCTTTTTCCAAACCTCATTGCATATAGTGAAAGACAAGAAACTTGTTTGGCTTTGCTTGAGGGCTGCTTCATTATAACATACTACTTAAACCAGTCACACAATTAGTTTGCAATCCTAAAATGACCTGGAGAAAGTTACCCTCTTTGTGAGATGCTATGTGGGCTATTCTTAGGTTGTAAGGGATTTAAAAAAAAAAAACAAAAACAAACCAAAAAAACCCCCAAACCAACAAAACTTCTCCAAAGACAATTTTGCAATGAAGTTAACTTCCTCTCTTAAGAAGGAGGATCATGTAAGAGATCTAAGTTTAAAAAAAAAAAAAGTCTTGAAAACAAACCGTGGAGATGCACCTGTAGGTTATGACACTCTACACCTTTTTCCAAACCTCATTGCATATAGTGAAAGACAAGAAACTTGTTTGGCTTTGCTTGAGGGCTGCTTCATTGTAACATACTACTTAAACCAGTCACACAATTAGTTTGCAATCCTAAAATGACCTGGAGAAAGTTACCCTCTTTGTGAGATGCTATGTGGGCTATTCTTAGGTTGTAAGGGATTTAAAAAAAAAAAACAAAAACAAACCAAAAAAAAACAAAAGAAGGGAGGAATGAGCATGGTAGATGATTGATTTGTCTGCTACTGAAGTTAATTAAAGGAGAGATATGGCACATAAAACCCTTGAGTCATTTTTATAGGGAGTGCAATGTATGTTCAAAGCCGCCACTTAAGGAGTGTTTAAGTTGCTCATAAAAATGGCCAGCAAAACTACACAGCTCTAAGGTTAGATTTGAAATAATGTACAAGGTCCATATAGTTTTCTTTAAGTGAGGCTTAATCTTTCTGTTGATGTTCTTGATACCAATTTCTAATAAAATAAGACCATGTAGTTCTGCAATTAAGCAGCTTAGAAGGTTATTACTTCATTTTTTAAATTTTGTAGTGTATGTATATGCTAGAGGTATCTGGGCATCCTATCTCAGGCTCTGTTTTTAGTCTAACTCATAAATAGACTTTGCAAGAATGAATCCAGTGGTGGTTTTGAGTCTGTCACATGAACAGAAATTTAATATTCTTATATATTTCCAGGAAGGAAAACTAATATATCACTTAAGTGATATTAAGTGATATAAAGTGTCATATTGTCATTCCAAAATGGATGATGGATTTTTCAATTCATGTTAAAAGCCTTTCAGGACAAGCTGCAAACAGAAAAGTTGTCTTTTGGTTTCAAAAGCATTTTAAATCCGCTTTTGGTCAAGGCGAGAGTGTTTCTTTTAAGGTGGATCCAGACTTACAAATTAACAAGCTTTGGGGAAAAAGAAGTATGCTGTAAAATGAAATCTGTGGTAAAAGGAGGCACTAAACCAGTTGTTTGAGGCTTGTAGGTGGTTTGTGGTGATCCAAAAAGGATAGGGAGCCATTTGTCAACACCCCCGTGGTAGATGGGTGAGACTCTGGTAGGTTGACAGATTGATTGGGAGAATATGATACCGAAGGATTTGGTGAGAACTTTATATATTTGAAGTGGCAGTCTGCCGAGTGCTAAGTTCGTGGTAGTCTGTTTTAAGCATGCAGGGGTTTTCAAAGTTAAAATGAGAACCACAGCGAAACAATGATTTAAGAGCGACTGGACAGTCCTACAAAATTGCTTTGTTAACTAGTTAAATTTAACAATAAGCTAGTAATGTTAAATATTTGTCAAAGATGAGGGGCGTAGTATGCTTTGAAGCTGAGGATTTTAGCCACAACTATTAAAGCTATTTGGCACTTGGGGGGGGGGACAGGGGCTGGTTCAATCTGATGATTTTTGTTCGAGATACAGTACTGTAGCAAACTAACATAGTGTTGGAGTTGGATGAAATCACTTAAACTAAAGATTTTAGTGATATATTCTGGTGTATTCAATCCAAGAGAAAAGGACTCGGTTATCCAAGCAGAAGGTAGCTGACAGACATCACGAATTTGACTATGCCCTTAATTTTCCCTGAAAATCTGGATGTGTCTTTCTGATGTATTTTACTTTTATTTAAGGTTGTTACAGCAGTTTCCAGGATTGCTGTGAATTCAGGAAGCTTTGTCAGCCGGTTACTTACGGCTCTGGATTAGGTGGTGGTTTGTGTTGGAGCTCTTTGTCCGCTAGTGCTTGTTGAAAATAGCTTTGGCTAGGAAGTGTTTCCAATGTGATGATGCAGAACACCTGGGTGATACTGCTGCTGTTTGATGCTAATGGTGTCACGTATTTGCTTGAAACTGCTCGAATAGTTGGGGTGACTCAGACATGTGGAATAAAAATTACATATAGGAGAGGAGTAAGAACAGCTTGTCTTGTATATCAGTGTTGCTTAATCTGAGCTCGTAGGTGCTGGCTGTTGCTTGTCCAGTCGGTTTCCTATGGCTTTGAATGCTTATTGTTCACACTAGCTTTCCGCCAAAGAAAACGTGAGTGTTTGGTGGGAATTTTTTTTTTGACAACAGTGCTTTGGAAATCATTAAAATGCTTTAATACAAAAAAATGAAAGGGTTCAATTTCAATCTAAGAAAGTTCTTTAACTATTTAGGTTTTTTCTCATTTTTAGCGCCGGCTTCGTCATCTTCGTAACATCGCTGCACGTAACATTATCAATAAGAATGGTTATCGCCTCTTGGACACGTACTTCACTCTTCACTTGTGTGATAACACGAAGATATACAAAGGTAAACAAGGCTTGCTATCAACTTTTTTACTAATCTTTGAATTCTTATGATACAAATTCTGTGTTCTCTTTTTGCCTTGACAACCTGCTGCCATTATTTGCATCGCGTATGCTAACAGTGGAAAAGAGTTCTTTAGTTTCCTGAACTTCATAAAAGCTTTCAGTGTTAGCAGCCAAGGAAGCAAACCAGATGACAGATTTGGTAGTCTCTTAAATCAGCCTATTTTTGTTGTTGCTCTCCTCTCCCCCCACCAATAATATAAGAAACTTGGGAACTTCCCAGAGCACAGAAAAGTTAAAGCTTTTGGAGCCTCAGTTGCTTTGTGTGTGGGAGAGAGTGTTCCACTCTGTGCGTACCAGTTATTTTACGGAGCATAAACCAGCACTTACTATTATCAAAGTTTTCCAAAAATAGAATTGTCAGCCAATGACACGAAGCATCCAGGCATCTGTTCTGCTTTTGATAACTGTGTTTGAGCGTTAGATCTTATTTCTCTTTAATGCTGTGCTTTCCACTACAATGTATAGCTCTTCATTGTGGAGAGTTGTTATTAAAAAAATATTTTTATGCTCCTTTTGATATGATCGACAGTTGGAGCTTTGCAGGCAAATTTTGGTTTTCTCCTAATTTTTATTTTCAGCTAGTGTAGTTGAACCTTGCTCTTTTTTTTTTCCCTCCGCAAGGTCGCTGTTTTATTAGGATAAGAATACATAACTTGAGCTTGCTACCTGGACTTTCTTGTGGTGGTTGGTTGAACCTGTAACTGATCACTTTTGCTACAGTGTTTGGTGTATGGGACTGTTCTGCACTCCATCAAAGCTTTATCCTTGGACTCCAGTGGACTGAGGGATATTGTACAAAATCTGTATTCCAGCCTCCGGAGCTGTCTGCCTAAAGGCTTTAAGCTCTCATTTTGGCTGGGAAAGCCAAGGCCCATGTGTCAGCAGTTGCTTATTTCCATTTAAATACAGGGTTCTTGGCACCTCTGTGAGGTAATTTGGCCATTCACTTTCTAAGCATCTGGAACAGGTCACCCTTGCTCTTCAGGAAAGGAGCGCAATTAGTTTATCTGTGCTGCACTCCTCCAGGAAGATGTCGTATGACAAACTAGTCACTTTGCAAATGTCATCCAAATATTGTAAAGTACTGGGGCACGTTCTTTCCCCAGAAACCAAAGCCTCAGTAAATCTTGAGGATTATCTTGGGTATAAAGATGAAATGCTAAATCTAAATAATGACTTCTAATAATTAAGTGTGAATGAGTACTGTTAGTCAAAAGCATGACTGCATTTTAAAGTCTTTCTCGGGAATCTGTTACTGATAAACTAGACCCACTGGCATTTCTTTCATGAGCGTTACTTATTTTAGCTTTTTGTATTTCAAATACTAAGATTTGTATCAGTGTTTAAGCTAATCTAAAGGTGTTTTTTTACTCATTTTTCTTTAGAATTTTATAAGAGTGAGGTGATCAAGAATTCTCTGGTAAGTTATTTCAATACGGAAAAACTTTCTTTTTAAAATTGTGTTGTTACTCCAGTATATTGATTTCTCTGCTGAATACCGTAACTGTTGAATGTGTATTTCCACTCCTCAGTTCTGTGAGGAGCATCACGTTCTCCTGCTTTTCAGGTTCTTTTCACGAGGGTTGGAATAGTGAGTTATTGAATAGTAGAAACGCGAGTTCATTTTAACAGCTGTGGAGCTCTAATCTGTTGGTACTTCTGCAGACAGGACTAAACACTCCAAGGGCAGGGCATTTTCATGTGAAAACTGTTCAGTGCTCAGGTTAAGCTTTACAATATATATCCATTTTAAATACTGAGAACACCAAATAGACAAAGTAGGGTTAGCTGGATTTTTACTGGTTTAACTTCTTTCAGTATCTGAGAATTGTATGCATCATAACTCAGGTTTGTTTACGGTTCATCTTTTTTTTCCGCTTTTTTTTTGCTGTTCTTGCTGGTATTAGCAACAGAATTAGCTGCTTTTATTTAAACGCCTGCAAATTGCTTATTCAAGGAGCACTTGTATATTACTTTGCTGGGTGTACAGATTCATTAGAAGCTCATGCTGTGCAGTATAGCAACCTTTGTGTAGAAGCAGAGGCCCTGCTTGCAACACCCCAAATAAAGGGAGAGTCAAACGGTGTTGCAGCATATACCACCGATTTCTTTGAACATCTTTTTGTTGTATAGGTGAACAGTAAGGAACATGTACCTGCATATATAAACATGTATATTCTTTGAAGAGCTACTAGCTTTAAGAAACTGAAGTTTGAAAACGCCTTAGAGTTTCTAAACTTTCCAGTTCAGATCAGTGAAGGGACCAGAACTGAACAGTTTATTACCACTGAGAAGGGGTAGGTCTCTTTTGTGGGAGTAGGATGTTGCAAGCGTTGGGTAAGGGAGTTTGAAAACCTGCTAAACAGAGTTTTTAATGTCTGCATTAACACGGTAAAACTGCACCATTTATAGCACACTGGGCTGTAAATGCTTTGAAAACCTCCTGAACGGAGGAAAAGCTGTCTACAGCCACAAGGCTGTTAACTTGTCCAAGAGACAAGTTCCTTGAGACTCTAGGGTTTTGAGTTCTGCCTATTCTAAATCAGGAAGAAGAATAACAAAAAGGGAATCTAACCAAAGGAAATACGAGATGGAATGACAAAAATCTAAACAAAAGATGTCTTGAGCAAATCCCATACATCATCTATGGGTATTTTAATGGCCTGTTATTCTTGTGTCTGAATAGCTACCAAATATCCCTTCTCCTTAGGAAAACTTGATTAATGCATTCCTTCTGTAATACTTACTGGGTGACTTTGCCCCTCCCTTCTTTTCAGAGGCATCTTATTCTAAATTGCCTAATACCAATTCAGAGATGCTTGGCCCGTTCCAAACTGCTTAAGCGCTAGAAGGAAAGGCTTTTTTTTTTTCCATGGGATGGTGGGTTCCTACCTTTTGTTTTGGAGGAGCTACCATTTCTGCGTGCAGCAGAGGAGGGAGATACATATAAAAAGCACTTTCCCGTTTCTGCATTTGGACACCCTGTGATTTATGGCCTGTGGAAGTCCTAAAGTTGGTATCTGGCTCTTGGCACTAGTAGTGTTGGATTGACTTGGTTTGGTTGCAGCTTGGGCCAATTACAACAGTTTCCATAAATTTTTAATTTAAATGTTATCAGAGGTGAGTCCAAGTTCTTGGAATGCCTTGTGTTTGCAAAACTGAGTTCTGGTGGAGTAGATGTTTGCAGTTTAGCTTAACGCATGCTGCTTCTGTAAAGCTTGCGATGCAAGTCTGATCTCTGGGAGTGAAGAGGAGCTCTTAGTGACAACATTTGAAGATTGCCATCTGCATCAGTCAAGGAGGAGAAGAATGTGAACAAACCTGTCAATAAATTATGCAAACTTAATTATTGGGGAATAGAATTTAGCTTTTGCAATGTCAGCTATACCCTAGTTTTCAGAAGCTGAATTATAACTTGGAAAGGAATGTTACTTCCACTCTTAAAGTTCCTGATTTGGCTAAACTGAATTAGTAAATTCTGAAGTGAATTCTTCAACATCTTGTAATGGAAGGAAGCAGAGCCGGCTCAGAGTTTCTAAAGTACTTTACAGCATGTAGCTTTTAGCTCAGGAATTCTCTCTAGAAAACAGAATAAGGAAGCAGCAGAGCCTGTTGGCTTCAACTCCGTGTAAACCTTGAAATGGCTGGTGTTCGTTATTCTTAAGGTTTTTTTAATCTTTGACGTGGGCTTTGCTACTTTCTGAATTGTCAATTTTAGGACTACTTTCAGCTTGAGTGTGTTTTTTTTTTTTTTGAACACCTGTAGAATCCGACATGGCGGAGTCTGGACTTTGGAATAATGCCTGATCGTCTTGATACCTCTGTCTCTTGTTTTGTGGTGAGGATACCTGTAGAACCGACATGGCGGAGTCTGGACTTTGGAATAATGCCTGATCGTCTTGATACCTCTGTCTCTTGTTTTGTGGTGAGGATCTGGGGTGGCAAGAAGGAGCACTTTCAGCTTTTGATTGAATGGAAGGTCAATCTAGATGGGTTAAAGTACTTGGGCCAGCAGGTAATGTGGAAACAGTTTTTCTCAACTTTTTACTTATGGAAACAAAGCATCTGGATGAACAGATATATAGAATGCTAAGAAAGGAAATGAATGCATTTGAAGGGCGTATTTTAAAGTTTGATTGCAGAGATTCATGTTAGCTTTCTTCAGAGCTTTAAATCTTGACTAGCTGAATATTTTAAGCTACCGTTTGCTCACTGAGCCTCTTAAATGACACTGCTAGCACTTGGTGCTTTAAATTGCAATGCCTCAATTCAAGGAAATAGTATAATTGTACGTATAGTTAAATGAACATAGATCATAATGTTTGTGTATCTTACGGTTTTAATCCATTCTCATGGTAGTGACATCCCATCAAAGATCTTCAGTCCAAGGAGCTTACTGTATAAGATCTGTTTTAATTCTGGTATTTGTCTCTTACTAGCAGGCTTTTGAAAGAGGTGAGTAGCAAGGTGTTTTCTGTATCGTGGAGCTTATAGTGAAAGTGGCTCAAAAAGAAACCCATATCACATAAATAACAAAAACACCAAAAAATACGGTGCCTTTTGAATCAAATAGATGGTCCTAATTCCAATGGGCACTTTTTGATTGATTAATTGATAGGATCTATGTAGAGTAGATCATAGTTTGTCTCACTTTAAATCTACATTTTTTAAAAAATTTTTTTAAATTGGGATGTTTCAAAGCCTGGGAAGAAAGCTTTATAGGGAATGACTGCTCTAGCTTCACATGATGGATTGATCCTGGCCAGCATTCCCTGCACTGGTGGGCTGGGAAAGAGTCAGAGGAGCAAAAGTGAGGAAAAACTCGTGGGTTGAGATAAAGACAGTTGAATAACTGAAAGAAAAAAAAAATATTAAAAAAATAAAAGCGTGCGTGTGTGGGGAGAACAACAGACAAGTGATGCAAAGGTAGTCACTCACCACCTCCCACCAACAGACCGAAGCCCGGCTAGTCCCCGAGCAACAGCTCCCTCGCAAAGACTGACCCCTCTTTTTTTACTGCTAAGCGTGATGTGGAATATCCCTTCGGTCAGTTCAGGTCGGCTGTGTGGGCTGGGAAAGAGTTCAGAGGAGCAAAGTGAGGAAAAACTCGTGGGTTGAGATAAAGACAGTTGAATAACTGAAAGAAAAAAAAAATATTAAAAAAATAAAAGCGTGCGTGTGTGGGGAGAACAACAGACAAGTGATGCAAAGGTAGTCACTCACCACCTCCCACCAACAGACCGAAGCCCGGCTAGTCCCCGAGCAACAGCTCCCTCGCAAAGACTGACCCCTCTTTTTTTACTGCTAAGCGTGATGTGGAATATCCCTTCGGTCAGTTCAGGTCGGCTGTCCCAGCTGTGTCCCCTCCCAAGCTTTCGCACACCCCCAGCCTACTCGCTGTGGGGGCAGAGTGAGAAACAGAGGAGGCCTTGATGCTGTGCAAGCACTGTTGAGCAATAGCTAAAACACTGGTGTGTTACTAACACTGTTTTAGTCGCAGATCTAAAACACAGCACCATACGGACCGCTATGAAGAAAATTAACTCCATGGCAGCCAAACCCAGTACCCTTCATATTGTAGCATTCTTTCCATTTGTTATTACTGGACAGGGAGCCATTTCTTCTAAATAATATGCTCTAGCGCATGGTTTTATTTGAAATAATGTTCTTTACATTAATAGCAGGATATTAGCTATAATACTGAATGCTAATGTTGTGTCTGCTGTGACCACAAAAGCCTAATTTTGAGTATCATTTTAGGTAATATCATGTGAAAGCCAATTACTCTTGAGACTTATCTCTTTGATTAGTTTCCTGATCTCTTAGTTATTTTTGTCAGCTGGAAATGCAACAATAAGAAAGATGCTCTGGCCAGTGTTTCTGATTTCAAGGTAGAATGGCTGAACGTACTCAGTGACTGTTACTAAAGCTGTGAAGCAAATGCATTTTCTATGGCTAAATTCAATTTTCTCTGGAGTTTCACGTGCTTCTGGAATTACAGGTGCTGAAAAACTGCATTTGACCATCAAACAGAGCAATTTATGCTCATTTGCAGTGTAAAGTCATAGTAAGCTGACCATAAAATGATTTGTTTTCTTCTCTTCTTACAGATACACGCAAGAAACCCCAATGAGATTATTTTTGGTCTCAATGATGGTTATTACGGAGCTTCATTTGAACAGAAGGTAAGGGTACCTCGTATTTGTTCTGGCTTGTTAGTACTGGTGACAAGCTGAAATTCAACTTCTAAACTTCAATTTTCACCCTTGGATGCTCAGAACATTAAAATGCTTCTTTCTGGGAAGAAACACTTTTTTTGACGTGACAGATAGGAACTGTTATCTTACCTTTGTTGCATGGACATCTGAGCTGTTCTGGGAAGACTTAAAGCATAGCATTTTCAGTCCAAAAATGTCTGGTTACTGAAAATAAGCCTTGACTTTATTCTTTGAGGCCGATGCTTCATTCAAACGTAGAACATTTTTGAAAATGGTGTGGCTGTTGAGACTCATTTTCCTGGCAAATATAAAAGCACATTAAGTTTTGGTTCTCACTCTTAAAACCAGAGTTTGTAGCTTTTAAATGGAAGCTATTTATTTGCTCTGTCTTGCAACTGTTTCACCCCATGGTTTGTTTGGTTTTTTCCCCCCCAAAAAGGCTCCGCTGTAGTGTTTGTGCTTGATAGTCAACAGCACGGGTAACCGTTCGTATGTGGGGAGAGTGGAGCAAGGGACAAGGCGGCCATGTGTGCAAAACTCTCTGGCTGTACGCAAGCCTCCAAACTGTGTTTGGTATTGTGACGGTTATCCTTCAAATTGCAGATGGTTTGGTACACAGCTCAGATTCTGCTTCCTGGTGCTGTTAACGCAGTTTTCCTGAAGCAGGATGCAGTTCTAGTTTTTCATGATTTCACTATTAATAATCTGGGCCTGAATTCAATGATGGTAACGCTATCCTTTTTCCTGATTGTTTGTTGTCAGGACTTGCTTCCTAGCTCATAAGGTTTAAAAGTACATCTCTGTTTTGGTTCTTGTACGTGCTCTGTCGCTGAGTTGCAAATACAGTCGTAGCCGATGTAGAACACAAATAATCTCCTTCTTTGTCCTTCCCTATAATTTATTCAGCTCTTTCTGGCTGCTAGAGCTAGAAATTTACTTTGTTGCCCTGCTCTGTAGCTTCATAGAATCATAGAATCATTGAGGTTGGAAAAGACCTCTAAGATCATCGAGTCCAACCGTCACCCCAACACCACCATGCCCACTAAACCATCTCCCTCAGCGCCTCATCTACACGTCTTTTAAATCCCTCCAGGGATGGGGACCCCCCCCCTTCCCTGGGCAGCCTGGTCCAATGTTTCACCACTCTTTCAGTAAAGGAATTTTTCCTCACGTCCAATCTAAACCTCCCCTGGCGCAACTTGAGGCCGGTTCCTCTCGTCCTATCGCTTGTTGCTTGGGAGAAGAGACCGACCCCACCTCGCTACAACCTCCTTTCAGGGAGTTGTAGAGAGCGATGAGGTCTCCCCTCAGCCTCCTTTTCTCCAGGCTAAACAACCCCAGTTCCCTCAGCCGCTCCTCAGCAGACTTGTTCTCCAGACCCCTCACCAGCCTCGTTGCCCTTCTCTGGACACGCTCCAGCACCTCGACGTCCTTCTTGGAGTGAGGGGCCCAAAACTGAACACAGGATTCGAGGTGCGGCCTCACCAGTGCCGAGTACAAGGGGGCACGATCACTTCCCTGCTCCTGCTGGCCACACTATTTCTGATACAGGCCAGGATGCCATGGGCCGCCTTGGCCGCCTGGGCACACTTCCGATTGCTTTCTTTGTCAGTTCCTTGACCTAAATCTCTTCTTGTATGGTACATACCTCCTGTATTTAAGTGACTTGTCTGCTGTTCAAGCCAAACTAGTTGGCACAAGCAAACTCTTCCTGTAACCCTCAGAAGCTGTGTGCACCTAAGGGGTGTTTCTGCTGTTAGTTGGTGTTGCTTTATAATTTTCACATCAGTGCTGGATATTCTAATTATACAGCCTCACTTTGGTGGCTACACTAAATATTATTTATGAAGTGCCACCTGGAATCTTCTGTAGGAAGGGATTTTTGGTGTCAGGTGTGTGGCTCTGATCCTGTGGAAACTGCAGTACACTTTTGTGCTTGGTTGTGTGGGTATTTTCTGATCTCTTGGGGTGCTTTTTTCTTTGTGGTGGTGGTGATGGGTCTTCATAATACTTCAAGAATAAGCCTCAATTTTTGAGATAATACATGGGTGGAACAGCCGTTTTAGTTTCTTGCATTGACACATGAAACCTCGTTATGGAACTAGATGCTTACAAATGTCATTTTGCAAGTCTAATGAAAACCTTGTGCACAAAGACACCTCAGTCAATGTTGGAAGTGTCCTCTATTTTTGCACGTCTCGGTATGGACAAAGTTAAGGTATGATACTCTTTTTTTTTTTCCTTCCCCATTGCTCAAAAAACCCCTTGTTACTTTAATCTTTGGACTATGAATTAATTGCCAAAGTAGATTTATGGAGTCTCACAATAAAGTGCATTCTATTAGTGTATTAAATGTCTTTGTCATTAATTAAGACCACTTATGAGCCAAAATAAGAAAATTGTTGGAAGCTGACTAAACCATTCTGGCGATATTTCATGAACTCGGGAGTTTCAAAACACACTGTAGATGACTTCTGAGCATTGCTTGGTCCATCTGGAACTAAATGCAAACTCCCATTCTCTGTCCTGTGAACTTACCTGTGATGAGAGAGGTGGGAGCCTAAAAGCTGTTGTAGCAGAATGAGCTGAAGTAGGGCAGGAACATTAGGGACCGTCACAACTGTTGTTTTTATTGATGACAATTGCAGATTTATTGATTAAATGCATATCTCCCTGGTAAACAAAACCAGCAAGAGCAACATGCTCAAATAGGAATATTCTAATTGCTGAATTGTTTAATTTAAAATCAAAGCACTGGAAGCTTACAGCTTCACCAGGTAATGCACTTTAGCTGCTGTTTTAGAACCTTCAAGCACACTTGCATATAAGGTAACATTCAAAATGTGGGTTTGTGCTCAAAATGCTTGCTTTGTAGGAAGCTCCTGTCATATAAAGGAGCAGAGTAGAAAACTCTAGCAGCAATACTGATGGAGAAATTCTGGGTAAAGCAGACAATTGTAGTATAGCAATTATTGTCTTAACAAAATAAAAAACCCATATCCATGGCCTCTTTATCGTTGTTAAAGTGAAGAGTCAGTGGTGATATTTTTCCTACTGAAGTAAAAAAGCCTTTAAATTCTGTATCCTTGACAACGTATCGGTCTTGGGAATTCTGCCTTTCTTCCATCTCTTCTGTCCAGCAGCAACTTGACTGTTGCTGATATACAATGAAAAAACTGAATGTTTTCTTTGGGTAATGTTCTTATTCAAGTTGCAGTTTTCTTGCTGCAATGGATACTTAGCTCATGGCAAGAAAAAAGTTGGGAAATAAGTTTTCGAAAGCCTTTGTGCGTGCCTTCTGAGCCCTGAAGGGTATTACTGCTTTACTGTAGGTGTCTGACAGTGCTCATGTAACTCCTCTTCTAGAGTTTACAGCTTTTCTCCTCAATGTAAATACAAATGTGTGCCACCAATATAGCTGCTTTGTTCATAACCACATTTGACTTTCACATAGTTGTACCTCCAACTTCTCTTTTTGTTCAAGCTTTTTTATTATTATTTTGTAGTAAATTATGCACCAATTTTGCTGGAAGATTTCAGCAGGATTCTGCTGCTTTCATCACAACCATGTCCAATTTATTGTCCTGTTTCCTTTCTGGCATGGGACCGCTGAAGCATTTGTTCTTCTTAGTTTCATCTTCTCTAGTAATCATACACTGAAACTCTATTTGGATTTGCTTGAACTGGACCAATGTTTGAATAAGATAGATGTGAGCTTTAGAGATTTTTTTTTTTTAAGCTGTCAACCTGGACTTAAAGTATTCCTGATCCTTTAGCAGTTTTCTGAATCTGCTTGGTTTTGTCCAAGACTGCATGCTTGTGTGTAAAACCACTTTTTACCCAGGTTCATCAAAATCAGTTCTGGGTGCTATACTGGCTTTCCTAAAACCAGGTTTCTCCTTCTCTGGTTTCCTCAATGCCTTCCTGGCTTTCAGATTTTCTTTCAACCATTTTATGCTTGCTGCTAGTAACAGATAAGACTTGCCCTTGCTCTTGCAGTGGTATCTTTTCAGAAAGTGCGTTTAGGGAAGCAAGTATAGCTTTTAGTTGATGGCTAGCTTTCTCTTGTCTCCTTAAAGAAATAAAAACAGAACTAGTCTATACGGTTCTCCATAACTCAAAGCGTTCAGCTGTGGTCAGGGGCACGGGGGAACAGAAGAATAAGTTATATTCTTCAGGGATACTGAATTGTAGCTACTTTTTCAACCGTTAAGCAGGAAAGACCCTTATCTTTGGAAAGCTGCATCTCTCTCTCTACAGTACGTGGTCTCCATCAATGCAGGTAGAGTCTTTCCCCGCATACGCTTTTTTTTTTAGCAGCTAGATCCTGGCCTCTTCACACAAGCAAAGCCTTTTTGTGTGTTTACAAATACACGTGCCTGTATCTAATAAATGCTGTGGCAGAGAAGTAGACAAACTCCCCTTTCAAAGGGCAGACTTCTTTAATAACTAAGTCTGAAACCCTTCCATTGCATGCTCTGCGAGTTTCCTCAGGGCAGGACAGTTTGTATAGACCGCTTGGTGTCTGACTCTTTGGGGATTTACTTTCAGCATACTGTAGTACAGGCGAAAAAGAAAAGGCTAAAATATGTTGCTGCTCCGAATTCTTCCCCTCCTGAAACTAGTTATTCTAGGCCACTCCGCTTGTTCTCTGAAAAATTTTGCATTTTGCTTTCTGAAGGCAGTGCTTTTTGAAACGAGATCAATGGTGATGCTGGTAGTTGTGCATTTTTTCAGTTTTCCACCATCCTAGTTCATTCAGGCATGAAGATGTCTTTATGCTGGTATTTTTTCAGGCGATATATGTATGGATTTTGGCATGTAGGATCCGACATCTTGAGAATGGAAATGAGGAGCTGAGACAGCTGCTGATACGGTGCCTCTGTTGCAATATGATGCATAATGTAGCCTGTAGGTCTCACGATTATTTAGGTGGAACCTTATTTTTGATGGAAGGGAATGTCTGCTGCACTGCTTGTGGCTAACAGTTGTGTCAGTAGATGCTGACATGTAACTGCATTTCAACGTCTTTCATGTGGAAACAGCCTGTTGAGGCAGGAAAGAATACGTAGGCAGGGATTGTGGTACCAAGTACATCTGTATCACTGTTAGAAAATTGGCTGGTCACGTGTACCAGCTGCGGCTACTTCATACACTAAAACAAATGCCTTTTTTCCTACAATCCATAAACTTTCTGACAATGCCGCCAGGCGGTTTGACCTACTTAGAATTCACTTTATCGCGTGGAGAAACAGTTCTGAGTTTGTGGCGTTTCTAGGAATTTGTGTGAATATGCCTGATCCAGAAAAGCTTGGTATCTGACCTTTGCAGCATGAAGAATTGCTGTTCGTCTGTTACTATTTGATAGTACATTCTGTCTCTTGTGCAGAATGTACGCTTTGGTCTCTTAAGAATGACATACATTTTTTTGTAACTTCCAGAAACTTGTTCACATCATTCAAAAGTAAGATTGCTTTGATCTTTTAAACGTGTTACAGCATGGATAAAGAATAGAGCTTGGTCTCGTGGTCTTGTAGATCTCTGGTACGTTACTGAACAGGCTCTCAGATATGAAACCGAAGACTGGCAGTACTGTAAATTGCATCCTTCAGTATTTCTGTGCATAAAATTTGTGCAGTAATGGATTATAAAGTTCAAGAAAACACACTTCATGTCTAGAACACAGATAAAGTGTGTCATGAACATCTTTATAGGTAAGTGCTGTTGTAGGCCAGACTTGAACTTGCTGTTATTGCCACCTTAAATTGTTTCTACCTACTGTACATAAAACTGTATGAAGACAGATTTAAAATACAAAATGCAAAATCATTTGTTCTCCTACCAAAAGTGCATGCTTTTAGTCAAGATGGAAAAATTTTTGATTCTTAAATTAACATTCTTTCTTTGCCTTAAGGATCACTCAGGTACCCTGAAGAATAGTCTTCTCCAGGTGGATCAGAACTGTGTTCGTAACTCTTACGATGTCTTCTCTTTGCTTAGGTAAGGTTTTTGAGAATATTCTGTGTAGCTATTGTAACGTCTTTAGCATGTGTGGAAAGAGACTTTCCAAAGATAAAAAAACCTTCTGGACTGGAATGTGCAAAGGAGATATCTAGGTAGTGCTGATTTACCGCTGGTAGCAAGGAGATGGGCCTTGATGTACGTTCCTTGGTGGTCTCTAGGCTTCTGCCATGTGGGTGCTGGAGCACTCTGAACTAGAGCTGGCTGTGGAGCTACCCCATGGACTTGCCTTGTGGATGTTGAAATCATGGAGCTTCTCTGGAGAGCTTCTGTGGAAAGCCTCCACTCTGTTCTTCTCAACAACAATAAAATTTATTTAAATTAGAACAATGGGGGGGGGGGGAAAGCAACGTGCCAGAACTTAACTTGGTAGAATGATGCTGTAGTTGAAACAAAACAGCTACACACCTAAGCGCGTGTGTGTGTGTTTTGTGTTTTTTTTAATGTTGCACCACTGAATTGCATTTGCCTTTCGCATAATTCTCCCTTGTAATCCAGAAAAGAGGCACTGCATAGTCAGGACCCAGTTACTCCAACACATCTATGGCATGAGAAAGGTATGGCAACTGCACTTTTGGGTGGTTACTTAGGTGTCTTTGGTGGTGAAAAACACAAAAGCTATTACAAAGGTAAACAAGAAGGCCTTTTTCAGATCTGCTTTAATTATAATAGTTCAAGAATGTTAGCTGTGGGGGAAATACAATAGAGGTTTTAAACACTGTCAGGAGGTTGGTTTTGAGGAATTTGTATTTAAAAGGCACTTTACGAGACGGGTTGATAACTTCGGTTCTGCAGTAATAGCAATAGATGTGCTACATAGGAAACCCTTGAAAAGGAAATGTTTAGTATGCTTTCAGAAGTTTGGAAAAATGCATTTGGTTTTATCGCTTGTAAAAGTTGAATCCATTCGATAGTGTTAACAGTAGGTGTCACTGTTGCCTGTATGAAGCATTGGCTCTATATTCTATAGTGAAGAAAGTGGTAGGAAAAGTTAACTCTAGGTTGCTTATTCAGAAGTCTTTATTTTATAAGCTGTCTTAAAATTTAAATGTGCTGTTTCTTGATTCGGTAAAGCATATTAAAACTAAAGGCTGCTTTCTAAATGTCTGTCTTTTGTACTTTTAGTGGAAAACAGCCAGGGGGCACGTTGTGAAGTTCTGGTTACATTCTGGCATAGTCTATTAGAAAAGAACTCTTATACTACTTAACATTAAGTCTTTGTTAAATAGAAAGAAGAAAATATGTGCCGGTCATCCTGATTGCTTTGTTCATATGGTTTTTGTCACATTTCCTTTGCACTTCTTTGTAGTATGAAGCACACTTCAGAAAAAACACTCACTGTTATACCAGCTGGTCATGAACTTGACTAACTGGAGCCCTGTCTAATCTGAAATGTGGTCCTTCTTCTGAAAGTGTCTGACCATCTGTCATAAAGCTAACAAGAAATGAAGGTGTCAGCTTTGATAAAGCTCCCCCAGCGCTGTTTTGAAACCTGATTACTGAATCATAGAATCACTGAGGTTGGAAAAGACCTCTAAGATCATCGAGTCCAACCGTCGACCCAACACCACCAGGCCCACTAAACCATGTCCCTCAGCGCCTCATCTACACGTCTTTTAAATACCTCCAGGGATGGGGACTCAACCACTTCCCTGAAGCCACATGCTTTGCTCTGTCTTGGGAAGGTGAGAGTCCAGGCACTGTTTCTTAGAGTTTCTAGGCATGCTGTTGGGTGTAGCTCCTGTTTAGCCCTGCCTCTGAGCTAAGGCGTCCTCCTTTCTTTTTGCTTTGTCCTAAAAGGAACAGTTTTTTCCAGTCCTCAGCACCAGGCCTGCTGCTGATTATATTTCAGTGGATTCTACATACCCTATTAAGGAGTATATATTGCACTGTCTAGTTCCAGCAAAAGTTAGAAGTTATAATTTGTGACCATACCTAGGTGCAATTTTTACCTGTTTCCTTCCTAGCTAGGAAAGTTCTTTGGGAACTGAGGCAGAGCCCTCCATGTTAGTCCTGGATCCTTTCTATTCCCTTTCACGTTAACTCCGCTTTTTTACAGGCAAACTTTCTCTACTGCTGCTTACCTTTGATATCTAGCTCAAAAGACTGGTGATAGTGTTTATTTCTTTTAAAGTAATCTGTAGTCTCTTTTTGTCAGGTGTCCCTTTTTCTCCTACCAAGCAGTCTGGTCTGCCACCTCCTCCAGGAGTCCAGGCTTGAGTAACTAGCCCGTGAACTCTTTCTGAAGATAGTTTTTGTGAGAGCATGTTCCACTTACAACCGGAAGAGAGAGATGGGCATAATTTGAGTTGCGATTCATTTGACAGGACGTGTACTTTGGGAGGCGATGAATCGCTGTCTGCCTGCTTCTGTCCATTGGCTGTAAAGAGAATAGGGAGGTGTCTACACTGTAAAGGTTTGCATCTGGTCACATAAATCCCACATTTTGAAGACTTTCTCATGATACGATATTTGTCTGTAGTAAAAATTCACAAGCTGCACATGTGGTTTCCTAATGTTTTCACGAGACGCGTGAATATGAAGAGCTTGTAATGGCTTTGTTTAAGCTTCTAAAAAAAAAAAGCAAGTCCTAGTGATGGTGGTATCTGCATCCCACTTATTCTGATGGTACCGTGCTGCCAGGTGGGGCATAGCCACTGATCAGCTGTACAGTGTGAAAATCGATTGAGAGAGCAGGTTCTAGCTCAACCCTTAACTCTTGAAAAACTGCAAAATGAGAACTTCTATGATTGATCTCTGTCTGCTATCAAAACTGCTTTTGGGAGAAGAAATGATTTAATTTTTTTTTGTTACTTCTCAGAAGTGACTAGCTAAAACTTACGAAGCTTGTGAATAGGCCTTAATGAAAAGCATGTGCTTGGCTCAAATTATGTTGATTAAAAAAATTAATTAGGAATGCCAGAGTGTGTGTGAATGGTAGAAAATTTTTTGAGTGTTGGATTAAAATAGTGCCTGTGTGCTTAGATGCTTAATTACATGGATTTACCAGTTAATTAAGCAGGAGGAAAAGTTTAAGTACCCAGACAGCTTAGCTTTACACAAGGAAGTTCTCAGCACCTCTGCAGCTCATGAACCTTCTTGTTTTGGGGCAGGGACAAGATCCTCAGGCAAACATAGTGCTGCTAATAAGTTGTTCATGCCATATGGAAATGACGAATGTTCTTCCAGCCATTTGTTTTAAAAAGGCTAACTAACAACCACCTCAACTGGAAAGCTAAAATTTTGAGGTTTTTGTCCCTTGGCCATATTGTCAGATTTCCTGAAAAGAGGTCGCTTAAAGGCTTTCTAAATACTTTGTAGCTGGTAGTAATAGGTTATGCAGTAACACGTTTCACCTTTCACTTAACATTCAGGATGGGCCAAATTCATCTGAGGTCATGTTCTGGACATGTCTCCATAATCAAGCTCTTGGCATGTTTGCAGCACTAATGGGAATAGGTTTATATTTAGTATTCTCTTAGTTTTCTATCCTTTCTTTTCTTTAAACTTTGAAAAATAGACCTTTCAGTACTAAGTGGTGTTGGGAAGATGGGATATGCTGGCAATCCCTAAAGAAAGGGCTTAAAATCCTGTATGTTAAAATTTTACTTTGGTTCCTGAATACAAACAGTAATATCTTGTATTCTGCAATAGCTTTTCATGGTATTGTGACACTTAGAGCAATTGGCCTGCTAATACCTTTTGTGCCTCTATGTACGTGAGTGCCAGAAATCCTCCCAGATTTTGCCTGGAGACAAAAAGTGCTCTAAGAACTAGTGAAACCTGCCCCTTTGAAGTTTTGCTTCCTATATCTTTATCTCTCCAGTCAAAACGGCTTTCTCTATGTGGTTTAACCATTCCTTTGGCAGATGGGATGGCACGTTTGTGCTGTTTAGTCAGCCAGTCAGTGCAAATTGAAAGCATTTCGGTTGTATTTTTGTTTAAAAAAACCCAAACCTGTTTTCTAACAACAACGAAATCTGGTATTTGTACAGCTTGAGTGCTGGAGATGAGTAAAAGACCAGCTCCAGGCAACTGCTGTAATATTGCTAATATCTAATCTGTCTGAAGTTGATTTAAATAATACTTCTAGGTGTTAAAGGGCTTCCTCTGCTACTGCCACATGTCCATCTGATCCTAGTGGATTAAATCTTGAAAACTAGAGCAACTCCAGAGACCATGCAGGCTGTGCCTTCATCAAAAACAACAGGTTTTCGCAGTTCTGGTGATAAGCAAAGAAATCTGGCTGCAGTGCTCTGGACAAGTAAACATGACTTTTCGAACCAAATTGTAACACTAAGCGAACAATTTCCCTGTATTTCACATCACAGCAATGATGGCCCAGGTTCGGAGGCCTTAAATGGTCCAAGATTGCCAGTGACAAGACACGGCTCTGAGGAGGACCAGAGCTCAACTTCTGAACTAGCAACTAATTACTACTTTCTAGGTTAACTAATTACTACTTTCTAGGTTAGGGGCTCAAAGAAACGTGCAGTGCACTGTTGAACATTGGGCATGTTGATACGTGACGAGTAGAAATATAAGTTACTAGAAACTGTCTGAAGTCCCAGTGCCTTGAGTATGCCCGTCGTCTTCAGATTTCACAATCTGTCATAGGGGTATGCTTCAAGTGACAGGCTTTGTTTCAGGATTTGCCATTTGTAGTACAACTGTTCATTTAAAGAAGAGCGCATGTCTTATCACTGAAGAGGTATTATTTAAGAATACAAATGTAGGTAGTGCTTGTCTGCAGTCTGAAACCTTGGGATGTTGGTAAAATCAACTCTCTTAAGTGACCAAGACTAAAACATGGGAACACAATATAAAATCGGCTTTTGTTTAGCTCTACCTATCTTAGGAAAGAAGCTTTTTAACAGATACATTGCTTGTGTGTTTAAATTCTTCCATCTTTGCTAGCAGTCTTGTCGAACGAACAGAACTTACACAAGTTGATCTCTGAAACTAGAAATAGAGACAAA